AATAATTTTACACGGAAAGAACAATTTTGCTGTAGCGTTTCTAAAAATTTAGCTAGATACAGATCTGAGCATAATTTTAATGAATTACTACAAAATAATTATATAGAGCGCTCAATTTGATTGACGGAATATGAAAATTGTTTGTGCTTTGATAGTTGGAAATTATTTTCGAATCTAACTAAATTTTAAAATATTTCAACAAAATCGTTTTTTTCACGCATAAATTATTTCACTGTTCACAATAACGTCTCGTTTTCTCAAACGTTTTACAGCTCGAGAAATATTAATACGTCGTACGTTTCAATTAAGGAAAAAAATCATGATTGATCTTATCTATCCTGCAGTATCTGTCGTTAAAATTGAAAGACACTTTTAATACATCCTGTGTAGAAATTCTGTAATTTTTTTGTACCTTAACCGCGTAGGGTTAATTGCTACCTGCAAAGATCGAAAGACCTGAGGCTGCGACAACAATCTTAGAGGTGTCACAGTTCGAGGACAGCGTTTCGATTGCGCTTCGAAATATCCCCGGAGGACGTTCATTAAATGACAGTAGAGTCTGTATGTGGAAAGACACAACCCTCGCGACACCGGTGTCGTTCGGTCGACCAATCAACGTGTCGATCGGCATATTGTGCACCGTGCACCGCGACGATTGCGATTGGCCGATCCCTGAGCACCTTTCTGCCTTCCGCAACCGACAATCGCATAAGTCGAACGTGTTATTCGCTTTGCATACTTGACCGGCGGCGCCCGATGCGGTTCATTATCCATCGTAAACGTGTTTTTTTCTTTTTTTTATACCGCAGATCGCCATTTTGGATTAATTATCGACCGACTTGTGCGCGTCACATTAGCGTTTTCCCCTGTGGCGCAATATACAAATTATTTCATCGACCAATCATCGAATGCATGCTCCCAGCAAGTAGTACGATCGTGCGCATGAATATTACGAGCGTAATAAATAATTGGTGTTCTCAAAACGGAGAGATCGAGACGCGTTGACAATTTTATTATCATAATTTGTCCTGTTCGCGAGCATCTATCAGCGGTGACGGTGTGGCAACCAGGTTTTAATTATTGCCGCATGGAGAATATAATCTTTCCGATTATACGCCGCTTAAGCTTTAGAAAGTGTTATCCGCAGGTACTCATTAGCAGCATAATTTTTCGTATAACTTGTCGGATATGGCCATTTCTGTAATAATATAATTCAATGAAAGTATTGCTTTCACAGAAAGTGAGATCTTAACTTATTTATGACAAGTGGTCGATTCGCTTTTAATCATATATATATGTTAAGCATTTTCTGCATATCTTGAATGGTGAAGTATCCTAAACTTTGCGTCCACTAAAAATTGCTCAGAGATCTGAGAGATCTAGAGAGAGAATTAACAAATCACATTTGAACAATTCAGTCACACGACCAAAGCGATCGATCGATTCTTTTTCTATTCAGAGGTCTCCAACTGATTTCTAGCAATTTTTTTCTTCAGATCCGTTGAAACTAGAAATTGCAGTATCTAGGAATAAACAGCATGGCACATGATTAATGAAACTAACAAAATCAGAAACAATATAAAATTGAATTGAGTACAAATTAAAATTCAAAATGTAAAGATAGATTAATAAAAATTTGCAAAAGACGTGAATACAACTCCATAAATGCGCATCAGTCTGGATAAAGAACCAAGAAAATAATCAAGGAAAAATAGCAAAAAAGCAAGAGCACAATAATCAAACTTATAATTAAATGATAAACAATTATTGGGGCAATATAAAAGTGATGCACATGCAATTATATAAGGAAAAGCCCAGTCAGGTCCGATTTCTAACACCTGAACATAAGGTTTAAATATCGGGACTTAGTAAGAATTATAATATTTATAATTGCGCGGAAATGCATTCTTTCTTAATCTCGTGTAGAAATTATTTTTGTACAATACATCCGGCTCGTCTTTCATCAAATTATATGTATTCTTTCATCATCAGGTCTCCGATGCTCCAGTATGCTACATTAGATTTAGGTGCATCGCGTTGCACGCGAAGAAACGGTTGA